AAGCACATACTTTCAGATTTAACCGGAAATGAAATCTGTGAGTTTTAACCTTTTGATCGTCGTCGTTTCTGTTCAAATCGGTCAATTTTAATTGTTATTACTTTCTATAAATGTATGTGAACGCTTCGTAGTTTTTTTAGGACAAAGCGTAAGGTGGACAAATTTGATGAAAAAAATATGTTCTTTCATTGGCAACGCCAGGAAATCGAGCGGATCGCCAATCAGCCTACCGGCATGTCATAGCAAGGGTTAATAAAACACCATCATTGGCATATTTATTCTTAAATTAAAAAAGATATTTTGTTACTAAATAATTGTCAATTATTATTTGGGAAACAAATATTTTTAAATGAACATTGTTAGCAATGCAAGATAAAGGCAAGTAGTATGAAAGTGATCGAGTGTATGATGAGATGGTAGTTAAACTTTCTAAATTCATTACATGGATGCCTCAAAAAAGAAGAGATCGCCATTATTGTTTTCAAACAAGACACTACATCCGTTCAAATTTACGTACATGTATTTACGAAATAGTGAACTGTCATTTTATATGATTCGTTTTATTTTTGACATTTGTACATGTACCTTTGTATTATTTCTAATCGATTATTATGTGTAAAATGATGTATGACTTCTGGCAACAAATACGCTGATGTATTATTTTGCCTGAATTTTACTGACATTGCATAGTTATTTACATACCGGTGGATAACGTTCAAAATGGACGAATTTCTAGTTCTTTTTGTCAGCGCCATCTTGATAACCATGAACAATAATTAATTTCTGTTATATATTTTATTTTTCGTTAAGATGTGTGAATTGAGTCAATATATTCAGATAACTTTAACGCAAATACTGAATATTCATGTTGTCAAAAAGTTCACCTTGAACAAATACTAAATAGTTCACCTTGAACAAATACTAAATAGTTAACCTTGAACAAATACTAAAAAGTTCACCTTGAACAAATACTAAATAGTTCACCTTGAACAAATACTAAAAAGTTCACCTTGAACAAATACTAAATAGTTCACCTTGAACAAATACTAAATAGTTCACCGTGACAGATTTCAAATTATGAAACCTGGACAAATGTCAGATAAGGTCACCTTGACAGAAGTCAATAGGTCATCCTGACAAAAAGTCGAAAATGGATCTTATTAACAAATATCATCAGCAATTTTCAATAAATTGTTCAATAATCATGAAATAAAACTTAGAGGGCGCTATGAACGAAGCATGGATATATAGATATTTGTATAAATTGGAATGTACAGCAAATATACCTGTAGTAGATATAGTATTAGCATTAATAAATCCTCTGAAAGTTACAAAGCATACTACTATAACAATATGTGTATATTTCGTACCAATGTTTGTCCAGGAGATTACCTGGCGGCCAATGTCGCTATTGTGCCTTTTTTTTACTATTCTGACTACTAGTATTGAAAACACCGTGAGTGAAATGCATAGGACGTTGATAATGCTGTAGGCTAGAGGATCAGTTTTATTTTATCTACCTTTAGTAGTATTCTAGCTACGACCAATTAACTACAGACATGTTACCGACAATGGATATTTGATATCATGTATCATGCAGCTAAAATGATTAGATATATATAATCATGAAAGCCTGACGAGGTCGCGTGAGTTGCGCCCTCCGCGGTGCTCCAAACCCAACAGTGACGTATGAGGCTATAATCATCATAGCTACATACATGTATGTACTTATATGATCGTAGGCAGATAAAGGAAAACGGAGACGAAATCATATAACATACAACATTAACAATGTATTGTGCAATTTACAGGTCATACGCGCGACTGTGTGTAAAAGTTGTGTTTTCATTAGTCGGAATAGTAAAATAAGCACACTATTGAGACTAACATTGGCTGGTTTGATTCAACTGCCATTGGAATTTATAAGCATTCATAAAGAAACATGTTTGTTGTGCCGATAATGTACATTCCATGCAGGTAGGAATTTCTTTTATGTACATTTATAAAATATTTATAAAACATTTATTCCTGAAGCTCCTATGGTAGTCATTTGATACAGTAAATTACCCACTGCGGGCTTCCTTCAGTCACTGGCCGATTTAGCGAAATGTAACCTAAACGCGTGTTGATTGGATTCTCAACAATCATTTGAATTGTAAAACATTTATATTGCATGACAATGAGGAGCATGAATCCTAGTTTAGAAACATATTTATAAAAAAAAATGTTAATACAGATCAGCAGCTCAAAATTGTCTCCGTTCAAAATGCGCGCGCAAGCCTTCACATGACACAGACTTCTAACGTCTATTATGATTTATAAATATGTATAACTATAAAACATTTATAACGACCACAGCTTTACATCCTTCACTGTATATTCGAGTTACGCATCCGTTAGACTCGTACCTTGTCACATGTGCC